TTGGTTTGACTAAAAACGCTTGCTCAGGACTATTTGTGTTTCATCCAAAAGATGTCTCTCAGGGGAAGTTACCAGTCCCTTAAATATCACAACGGCAGCAGAACTGCAGGGCCCAGGGAACCTTGGGAAGGAGATGTTTTTTTCCCAGAAAAATAAGCGACAGAGTTAGGAAAGGTCACCATCCTGAAGCCCTCCCAAGTGCAGCCTTGCGGGCCTCACAGAGAGCGCCAAACCGTCCGGCCCTGCGCGCGACGGGGACGGACATAGCCACATCTCTGGAGTAGCAGCTGTGTCAGGGTGGCAAGGTTAGGCCCGCAGGCCCTCAGCTCGGGGGCGCAGCCGGGGCAAGTCCTCAGGAAGCAGCGAGGTGCTTGAAGGGGGTGCTGGAGGCAGCCCAAGCCCAGTCAGGATGGGTGGCCCGGGGCCACGACGGGCGGGAACCTCGAGGTACGTTAGTAGCTGAGATGCAGAGAGCCAACCTGCCCAGACCTAGACAACTCGGAAGTGGATTTTTCAGCCTCCTACACCGGTGTCGCGTCTGAGTGCGACAGATGAGCCAGGGGGCGTCGGTGGCAGCTTGGGGTCGGCAGTCTCGTTGGAAAGTAGGGCTGAGATTTGTCTCCAAGCACGGTTTTCTACTTGGATTGGATATTTGTGGAGGGGAATAAGGAGGCGCCCTGCCTCCCTTATGCCCTGTGGGGCTTGGGCCTCCCAAGGGTGCAGGGCGTGTTTTGCAAGGACAGCCGCGGGCTGGAGATGGCGCGAGGGTCGGAGAGCGTGGCGCTGCCTCTGATCCAGGGCCGTGGTTTTCCGAGGTCCTCAGGGCTTGCGCCGCAGCCGGGCAGCCTGAGTCCCCACCCGGCAGCCTCCCGCTACCTCGCCGGCCTCTCTGAAACCCGAGCGCGAGGGGGCGGGGCGCAGGCGGCTGGGGCGCGGGGCCGCGTCGACATTGGCGGGGAACTGAGTGATGGATGGTGAGGGAGGGGCGCGCGGGGGGCGGGCGCGGGCAGGGGAGCGCGCCGGGCGCCCGCGGCCGAGGTGGACCGAGCCTCCCGGCTCGCTGCTCCCGCCGGCGGAGCGAGGCTGCCCTTTCTCCGCAGCGTGATTTATTTTCTTCTCCTTTTTTTCTGAACTCTTCTTCCAGGGAGAGGCTAGTGGTAACAGGCCGAGCTGGATGGATGGGTATGGGGAGAGGGGCAGGACGTTCAGCCCTGGGATTCTGGCCGACCCTCGCCTTCCTTCTCTGCAGCTTCCCCGCAGGTAAGGCACTGCCGGCCGGGCGCGCGGGGCCGGGTCCCTGGGCCGCCCACCAATGCGGGGCCAGATTTGCGCGAGTGAGTCCGGGCTCAGGTTCTCTAGACGTCCTCTGGACCCCGCCTCCCATTTCCACGGGTCTTTGTTTCTCCTGCACCCAGCCGTGGGTGCGATGCCTGCCCTTGGGGAACCCAGAGAGGGGCACCCCGCCCGAGTTGCAGTGAGAAGGAACCGGGTGGGGAGGGCGCAGAGGCCGGGGGTGCCTCACTCCCGTTTTTCCGAGAAAAGGGGTGCTGGTAACGTGCCTCCTAGGGGGTCGGGAAGAGAGGGAGAAGGGGAGGCACGCCCTCGGTGCTGGGGACACTCTTCAGCTCCTCGCCCAGCAGTTTGCAAACCTGCCGGGTGCCCAGGGGTGGAGCCAGGGGCGCCCCTGAGGTCCCAGCCAAGTTCCCGACAGCCCCCTCCCCGGAGACCTCGTCCCGTTTCCACGCATTTGGCCACGCGGGGACACCCACGGACCCGGCTCAAATGAGCTGGTGTTCCTGTTTGATAACTTTCTGCGTCGCCCCCTGTTTGTTTTTATTGTGTCAGAAAGGGAGAGAATTTCAGAATTAAAGCTGAAAAAGCCCATCTGTTTCCAATGAATCCCCCATAGTTTTTCACAATGTTTTTGGCAGATCGCTGCTTTCAAATTCCTCGGAGCCCGGACCTCTTGTTTTTGTTGGGGGAAGGGAGACCAACTCCACAGAGAAGCATTTGTTCCTTCCCAAACGCTCCAGTTTCTTTACTTTTTTTTTTTCCTTTCGGGGGGAGGAGGGAGGCACGCAACTTAAATCCCCGGCCTGTTTTCTTTATGATGTTTCATAAAACTTTATTTCATTTTTGCCATATGCTGCTCACAGCCAGAAAACGCCAGTTAAGCCCTTTATACCCATTTTTTTTTCTTGCTAAAAATACAAATAAACACAATGTCACGGGCCAAATGGCCTCCCCGGCGCAAGGCGGGATCTCCTAGCCGTTTCCATTGTGTTTTCGGGGTTCAGAGGTGTCTTTCTGAAAAAATTTCAGCTTGTTTTGCGCCACAGCCGGGCGTGGAGACGCAGCCCCCGCGCACCACTGAAGCTTTGCAAGAAAGGACTTGAGTTTAGACTCGGATTGGGTTATTTTGATTTGCTTTTCAGCCAACTGGGTTTCAAGGAACTGGCAAAACTGGGCAGGTCTGGCTCGGCCTGGCTGCGAGTTGGGGCTCCCAGTGGGCGGATCACGCAGACAGTGAACAGTAGGGAGCGAGGGGTCAGTTTACCCCCTAGTCCCAGCCCTGCTTCTGGCCCCCAGCGCCAGCTCAGACTTGTGCGTCCGGCTTACTCTACCACTGCGCACCCCAGGAAGGTCCCAGAGAGCCGCAACCTGCTCTCCAGACCTGGGTTCCATTGGGAGGCCTGGCCAAGGACAAGATGTAGGGGGAGGGATCTTGGTATCCCCAAAAAGTACTCAGCTTGGAATATCAAAACCTCCACAGGGGATCGAACAGCAGGGTGCCCTCTCCCCACCCCCAGTGTATTTAAAGGGCAGTTTCTCCACCTACTTAAGAGTCTGGCAGAACAGGCCAATTTGGTTTCCTCCCAAGAATTCAAAATAAAAATAAAAATCACCGTATTTAAAAAGAAGTCAACGTTTTGGAAAAGCAGGAGTTTGCAATTTGTGTTCTTGGTTTGGTCTAGATAAAGATCCAGCCCATTGGAAGTTTTATCAGATGGGTTGATAAATGGCTTTTGTCCCTTGGCTGCTGTGGGGGATGTGATCTCAGCTCAAAGCTGAAATTGAGAAGGGGGGCTTAGAGGCCCTTAAAACAACACCTTCCTGCTCTTAAAGCTGCAGCACTTGTTAACTTTTGGGGCTAGGGAGGAAAGGAAGGCCTGGCAGAAGTTCCCAGAGGTAGCAGGCTGCACGGCCTGAGTGGTGGTGGTTTTGTTGTTTCTCGATTTATTTCTCCATCCGAAAAACTTTTATTTTAAAGTATCCCGGCATAGGCTGAGGAACACTGGTAGGTTATATAAGTCACAGCCCAAATTCCATCACTTTTGTTTCCAAGAAACCCATTTCTTTTTGGCGTCAAGGCTGGTAACTAAAACCTGGCCGATAGAACTGATAGCTGCTCTCCTGTCATGCCAGCTGGCTAATGTTTCTTCTCATTTGAGGGCTTGACAGCTGCGTTTAGTCAAAATTGCCCACCTTACTGAACACTGAGCTTCCAGTATCCCAAAACTAAATAAACTGGGGGCTGCAAAACTTGTGTGCTCTAGAAACGTGGGTCAAAAGACAGTTTCATAAGTAAGGGATGAAATGGAAAATTTCCACAACAAAGAGAGACTGTCTCAGTCTTTGACACATTGACCAGGAGAGGGGCCACTTAGGAATAAAGTTAGAAAACTTGCGGGTCTGGAGAGCAAGGTGGGAGTTCAAGAAATAAAAGAAAGCCCCGGCAAGTGCAAGGCACCCAGACACACTGGGGGCCCCTGTGTGCCTTGGCCTCTCCCGTTGAAGACAGGTGGAAACTGGCCGAGCAGCTGCGTGAAAGCCTTGGTTTGTTCTGTGCTAGTCAGCTTGAATGGCTGCCAGGAGTAAGCCTATAGGAGTGCAAATTAAATTGAACATAGTTATGTGAAGAAAGATGCCTTCACCTCGGCTACACTGAGAGCGTTTGTGTGTTTTGAGTGTTTGCATTTACTTACTCGATGGGGATGGCCAACTTACTGTGTTCCTGACTCAGTGACAACCTTTGGAGCCCTCTAACTAAGCCCCTCAGGCAGACCACAGCCTGGTGAAGAGAAGGGGCCCCTGCACTGTCAAGCGGGCTGGAAGGGTGTCTGTTTACATGATTCTTTAGGGACAGCACAGGCAGACAGGACCCACGTCTACCTAGGAAGGGAGGCCAGAAAGGATTCTTAAAAGAGCATTCCACAAATGGCATCCTACTGAAATCACAGTTAATAGATGGCTTTTTAAACTTTGAAGCCATTGCGACGTTTTTGAAAAGATTTCCAAGATAAATCCATCCGGGTGTATGTTTTAGACATGTCACCAGGCTTCCTGTTCACTATGTATGGGTCCTGTACTTCAGCACAGTGGTTCTCAAAAGTGTGGTCCCTGGACCAGCAGCATTTGCTTTCCTTGGGAACTGGTTAGAAATGCAAGTTCTAGGCCCACTACAGAACTATAGAAGCAGTTACTCTGGAGCTGGGGCCCTGCAGTCTGTGTTCTAGAGCAGGCCCTCCAGGGAACTCTGATGCATGCTCAAGTTTGAGGATTGCTGTTCTAAGAACTGTTGCACTCCAGCCTTTCTTTGTTCCTTCTTTCTTCCCCTTATACTTTTAAACTGCAACTGTTTTAGAAATGTTAGTCCTCGGTGGGTAACTAAGGTTTCAGGAGACCAAGGCCCTCTGCAGTATCCAGGCACATCTGTGTGGCTATAGAAATGAGACTATTTCTATCAGAGCTGCTATTCAAAAATGCATCAGCTGAGTGCAGTGGCTCACGCCTGTAACCCCAGCACTTTCATAGGCCAAGGTGGGTAGATTCCTTGAGGTCAGGAGTTAGAGACCAGCCTGACCAACATAGCGAGACCCCGTCTCTACTGAAAATACAAAAATTAGCTGGGTGTGGTGGCACGAGCCTGTAATCCCAGCTACTCGGGAGGCTGAGGCAGGATAATCGCCTGAACCCGGGAGGTGGAGGTTGCAGTGAGCTGAGATTGCGCCACTGCACTCCAGCCTGGGTGACAGAATGAAACTGTCTCAAAGACAAACAAACAAAAATGCATCAGCAGATCAGCCTGCTTACCACACTGTTGCTCTCCCAGTAGGACTTTGTGTCCCAAGAGTGTCTTAGTTTGTTTGGGCTGCTGTAACAAAATACCATAAGTGGGTGGCTTGTACATGGCAGACATTTATTGCTCACAGTTCTGAAGGCGGAAAAGTCCAAGAATAATAGGTGCTGGCAGATTCGATGTCTGACTTGTAGATGGTGCCTTATAACTCTGTCCTCACAGGGTAGGAGTGAGGATACTCTGTGGGGTCCCTTTTATAAGAGCACTAATCCCATTCTTGCAAGCTCCACCCTCATGACCTAATCACTTCCCAAATCCCTCCTACTTCTCGTACCATCACTTTGGGGTTAGGCTTTAAAAGGTGAATTTGGAGTTGATGTTCAGTGGCAAGAATTAGCCAGCTCACAACCAGTGTGTGAAGGCATCTGCAGAACGGAGCACTGGCTTCTAGGGAGAGCACACACATAAAGTTCTACAGATGGTCAGTCACTATGCCCTGAGGGTGAATTGAGGAGAAAGGGAAAGGATCTCCGGTCCTGTGATCTGAAGAAGGGAAAGGTCTTTGCAAAGTTGGAGAAATTGCTAGTAGTCACTCCAGCGCTCAGAGGATGGGAGCTGGGGAGAGGTGATCTGTGGGCACAGATAAGGCCACTCTATGAGATGGGGAAGAGGAGGCCTTGGAAGATAAGAGGCTGAAGGTGGGGACCGGTTTCTGTGTTGAGGGGAGTGTAGTTCCTGTTAGAGATTTTGTCTTTGGTGGAATGTGCGAGGCCTAGAACTGGGCAGAGAACCCCAGCTTTAGGTGTTGGTTGAGTAGCAGTTAGGGGGGCCATGCTGTTTGCTGCTTGGCAAAAATGCAACTAGCCTTAAATTGAAGGTAGTATTTCTTCAAAGGTAGCAAACTTATCCCAGTTTGCCCAGGACTTTCCTAGTTTTAAAACTGGAGGTTGTATGTCCTGAGAACTATCCTCAGTCCCTGGCACACCAGGACAGTTAGATAAAACCCTAGTTTTATCCTCTCCTGTCCCGTGGACTCATGCCTAGCCTGTGTCTGTTAGGGACTCCCCTGTCCAGATCTGTGAAGTCCTGGGTGTGAAGTGGGCCTCTCCATGTAGTCTAAGCACCTGGGGCTGTGGGTCCTTCCTCCTCCTGGTCCTGCCTGTTCCCTCTGTCTTTGCTGCCATTGCAACAGTAGACAGGCTTAGGGCCTTGCTGCCATTGCAACAGTGGACAGGCTTAGGACCTGCCTGCCTCCCCCGATCCTCGCCATGGTGCCAAATGAATCACTCTGAAACTCCTGCCCAGGAGCTCATGGCCTCTCATGGCCTGCTTTGGAGCATCAGAAGGGAGGGCCTCTGACTCCTGGTCCCCCACTTTTCCCAAGCTCATTTCCAAGGCTTCAAGTACATCCTCAAGCCCTAGGTCACCTCTTTCCTCCCACCTTGACTCCCCATGTACCACCCCACCACACCTGGCTGCTCTAAGGCATTGCTCTGGGCACTGCCCAGTTTTACCACTCCAAGCTCAGTGCCATTTTCAGGGGTCCAGTGCAGACCCCCGATGCCAGGGGCACCTGTTACCTTGGTTGCTGACACCTGAGCTACCTCCTGGGCTTGGTGCCTCATGGGCCTTACGTTTTTGTCCTCTTGTAAAGCACCAGTTCTGTTTATAAAAGCAGGAACCTCATTTCTGTTTCTATATGCCCTTCTTTTCTCCACCCACCCCAAACACACCCACATAGTCCTGGGAACTACAGGGCCCTTGGGTTTTTGTGTGCGTTTCTGTTTGTTTTGGGTTTTGCTCAATGGGCAAAGACCACAGGATTTTTTTTTCCTTTTTCCAGATACTCAAGTTTTTTTCCAAAATAATTTTTTCTGGTTATAAAAACAGTACTCATTTTTAACTCTGAAGGCTGAAAGGGGTAAGTAATAAAATAAAAATAACCCAAAATCCAACCTCCCACAGACAACTGTCACTAGTGAACATTTCACAAACGTCTTTCAAGATATACTACCTTTATATTCTTCTCTACAAAGTAGGATCATTTGAAGGTGAGTAATAATTTTTAAAGCTCTTTTGATTGAGTGGCCACAGTGTAGCAAGCGTTCTGCTAAATGTCTTAAGGACCTTCCCATGAGGATCATCATTCCCATTTCACTGATGAGAAAACACAGGGTCGGAGAGGTTTTCCCCACATTGCACACACAGCTAGTTGCATGGCAGAGCCAGAAGTAGAACCCAGACTCCTGCCCTTTTCCCATGCACAGATTTTGGATAAATGGGTCATTAAATTTGCCATGTAGTGCCAGGCTCGTTGGCTCACGCCTGTAATCCCAGCACTTTGGGAGGCCGAGGAGGGTGGATCACTTGAGGTCAGGAGTTTAAGACCAGCCTGGCCAACCTGTCTCTACCAAAAATACAAAAAACTGGGCGGTGGCGGCTGTGGTGGTGGGGGCCGGTACTGGACCCGGCAGGATGAGCGAGGTGGAGGCGGCAGCGGTGGCGACAGCCGTCCCCGTGGCGACCGTGCCCGGGGTGGTAGCGGTGGTGGTACCAGTGCCCGCAGGGGAGTCGCAGAAAGCAGGCGGTGGGGTGGACAGCGGCGGTGGGGGCGGAGCTGCCTCGGCCCGCTGCAGGGACCCCCTTGGCGCCTGGCCCCCGCGCCCCCCACCCACCCTGCCCCCCAGCCCCCCGCGCCCGGAGTCAGGCGGACAAGCAGGTGCTGGCAACCCGAGTCCTGGGCACTGTCAAATGGTTCGACGCCCGGAATGGTTACGGACTCATCAACAGGAATGACACCAAGGAAGATGTCTTTGTTCACCAGACAGCTATTAAAAGAACCCCGGGAAGTTTCTGCGCAGCGTTGGCGATGGGCAGACTGTGGAATTTGATGTCGTGGAAGGAGAGAAGGGCACAGAAGCCGCTAATGTAACCGGGCCTGGGGAGGTGCCCGTGAAGGGCAGTCATTATGCCCCCAGCCGACATAGGTTCCGCCGATTCGTCCCCCGGCCTCCCTCAGTTGCCCCACCACGCATGGTGGCAGAGATCCCTTCATGGGGGACAGAACCTAGCAGCGAAGGGGAGCGGGCTGAAGACTCTGGGCAGCGGCCCAGACGACGGGGCCCCCCACCCTTCTACCGACGGCGGTTTGCGCGAGGCCCTCAGCCCCCCAACCAGCAGCAGCCTGCAGAGGGCACTGACGGGGTAGAACCCAAAGAACCCCATTGGAGGGGCACCAACAGCAGGGAGATGAGTGGGTCTCCCGACCCCAATTCCGGCCCAGGTACCGAAGGCCTTTCCGCCTCAGGCCGCCCCGGCAGCCTACCACGGAAGGTGGGGAAGGTGAGACGAAGCCCAGCCAAGGGCCTGCTGATGGTTCCCGCCCTGAGCCCCAGGGCCCAGGAAACCGCCCCTACTTCCAGCCGAGAGGGCAGCGGGCCCTCGCCCCGGGCAGCCCCTGAGACCTCAGCCCCTATCAACAGTGAAGACCCCACCACCACCATCCTGGAGTGGTTCCAACTCAAAGGACACCCAGAGCTGCCATCTGGTATCTACCAGTTTTTCCGACTGACTTGTACCCTACCCAGTACCCTGCTCCCCCTTTCCCACAATTCATGGTATCACAACACCATCTTTTCACCTTTTCCTTGAGACTCAGGAGAGTCAAAGCAACAGCCTTTTGCTTTTTTTTCCTTCCCTTATCAGGGGTTGAAGGAAGGGAGCCATCCTTACTGTTCAGAGACACCCACCCCCTCCCCTAACTCAGGCTGAGAAGGAACCAGCCAGCTCTTAACCCCTCCTGTTTTTCTTCCCTCCCTCCCCAAGTTTATTTTTGTTTTCTCCCGGCCCCCCACCTCTGAAGCCATTTTCTGATCTGTCATGTGCCACCTGAGCCTCCAGTAAAAACAAAAGCAGGCTTTCCTGTGGTCTTGGAAAAAAAATACAAAAAATTAGCTGGGCATTGTGGCATGTGCCTGTAATCCCTGCTACTCAGGAGGCTGAGGCAGAAGAATTGTTTGAACCTGGGAGGCGGAGCTTGCAGTGAGTCGAGATCACATCACTGCACTCCAGCCTGGGCAACAGAGCAAGACTCCATCTTAAAAAAAAAACAAAAAACAAAAAAAGCAACGTACCGTGTAGTATATTGGACTCTGTACTGTGTGGTAAAGAAGACTTGGGATGGGGGAGAAGAAATAGACTTCGGGGGTATGATGAGGATATGCATTTTCCAAGGATCTAGGATTTTTGCCTCCTCCCAAAGGCCCTCTGCCTCTTGCTCACCATGGCATAGCATTCTAAAGAGGACGATACCACCCAGTCACAGGAAGACAAGTTGGCAGAGTTGTCATTGTGCACATTTTCCCAAGTCAGATTTATGTCTGTTGGGTTTTGCCTTTTTATTCATTTTGTGCACCATTTCACTCCAGCCAGCAGAATACCCAGACACCGATTAGTGATGCCTCTGCACCGAGGTCCCCGCAGAAGGAAGCCCATTGTTGCTCCCTGTGCTAAGAAATGCCACATGAACACAGACCCACACATGTGTGTGCACAGGCTGGGCAGGAGCCCAGCTGGCATGCATTTGCATTTCCCCCGCACACAGAAGGTGAAGGAGGAAGGCCTGCCTGCCGGCAGCATTGAAGGAGAAAAACCACTTCAAAGGCATTTAGACCCGCAGGCTAAGCGGAGGAGCCCAGGGTCACTAGAGGCAGCACCAGCCCTAGACTCAGGAAAAGGAGTTATGCTTCAAAGCTGGAGGACCAAAGTGCTCACCTGCAAGCATTATTTACATCTGGAAAGTTATGTCCGCCTATAATCACCTACCTTGTGGAACTCGGAGTAGCTTATCTAACTCTGCCCTGAGACAGGATGGTGCTGGCATGCAATCCTGTGTCCAGCTCTTGCCGGTCTAGGGCCCCTCTTGCCTAGAGAAGCTATCAGCCCCCCACTCAAGCTGTTTGTGGCCTTGGGCCAGAGGGTGAACACCACACTCTCACACCATCCTACTTGCCCATGGTCTGCCTCCACGTGGCCCCAGGAGGAACTGAGGGATGGAAGGGCAGTTTGGAAAGCTGAGGTGTACTCTTTCCCTTGGCACACAGTGTGGTTTCGTGCAGCCACTTGGTATGAGTGAGGCTGGGGCAGAGCAGCCCTGGCTGGATGTGACACAGGCAGTACCTCCTGCCTGAGCTCCGTGAGTGGCATTCGGCCACTTTTGACCTTGCTTATGTGGCTGTGAGTTACCCCTCCACGACCCCAGCACCCGAACTGACCACCCCCCCGCCACCTCCACAGTTAACTAAGGTTCTCTGAGAAGCTCCCTCTTTCTCCTGTGGCTGATTTCTAGAGCAAACCTCCTAGAAAATTTCCAGTGGATTCAAAGGGTGGAGCCACATTGGAGTCACAGGTTCCCTGGGACATTCTTGAGCTAGACTCAGGGAGGAATGCCTTTTAGAAAAGGTGACACATTCTGGCTGCTTGTAGGTTAAAGGTAGGGTCTACTGCACCTGGTGAAAAATCCAGCGCTCACCTGGGTGTGTTCCTTTCGGTATCTGATGCCAAACACCTGGATGTTTACACCAGGATGATAGAGTGAAATTCCTGCAGGAGTGACACAAACAGGCAGCCTCAGACATCTCAACTCAAGGAGACTCCTGAATACTGCTCTGGCCAGAGTTTGCCACATGTGGGTGGTAGGTCCGTCTGTTACTGTCCCCTGTGAGATCCAGCACTGAGGCACAAAGGACAGGAGAGGGTGGAGAGGGGTGGCAGCTTGAGTCTCAGTGGGTGTGAACTGGCCGGCCCCCTGGCTCAGTGCTCCCTCCTCCGCCTCCTTTGAACGGGAGACGTGGCATGTTGCTAAGAAGGGCATCTCAGCATCTGCTGCTCAGGTGAGGTGGACAGTGAGGAAGGGGACATGGGAGGTCTGAGGCTTCAAGGCTAGTATTTCCACAGGCACTGGCAGTGATTTCTCTTTTAAACTGCTCTCCCTCCCTTCCCTCCGCCTGCCTCCATCCTAATGGAAGCCATCGCCTCTTCAGTTACACCGCTTCCTAAAATAGTGTTCTGATCGTGCCCTGGGTGCTCACTGAAAATGCTTCAGGGGCTCCCTGCCATCTATTGGAAAAAGGTAGAAATCCTTAGGCTGGCGTGCCAGGGTCCAATCAGAAAAGCAAAACCCACCCGGGATGTTTCCGCAGAGAGAACTTCATGTAGGACATTGTTATGGGCATGGGAAGACTGAAGGGGCAAAGAGAAGCCACTAAGACAGAGAGTGGCGGAAGCAGTTTCAACCCCTGCAGCCAGAGGGACAGAAGGAAGGCAAGCTTGGAGGAGGGCCCGGGACCCTGATGGGGAAGAAGGGCCGTTGCTGGGCAGTGGTGGGAGAAACAGCCTTGGGGACGGCAGGTAAACCTGTCTCCTGCCTCCCATCTTCCCTTCTCTATCTAGTGTCTCCTCATGGGGAAATTTAACAGGGAACCCAGCGACAAAAGAGATGGGGTTTGCAGAATCCCTGCACCACAGAGCAAAGTGGTTTGAGGCTGAGTGACATTTGCTTCCTGATGGGCACAGGTGGCACTCTAGGTTTCTGTGTCTGACCCCAAACTCCTGACTACACTCTGACCAGCCAGCATGTCACCTCCTGCCAAGCTCAATTGTTCTGGAGGCCCCTGTTGTCGGATCTTTGCCCTGCATCACCCGTCAAATTCAGAACCTCGTTGAAACGCTACTTCCCTGATACCCTCTCATACTTCCATTCTTAAACCTTTGTTGCTGTTAAGTGTTCAGATGAAACATGTTTGCTTTGTGTTCTAGAAGTTTATGTGATTGACCCTACGTGAGCACAGAGATTAACTGGGGTTTGTTCCAGAAACAGCATTAATCACAGTGCCCGGCACATACAAGGGTCCAGAACTTGGAGCAAGTAATTGAACTCAGGCTGTTCCCACGCAGGCCACAGAGTTAGACGAAAACAGCTTGACCCTGGGGCTTGCACTCAAAATGAGCCTTACCCCTTTAAGAGAGGGCAGGTCTTTTCCCTCTCCGGCTCACCCCACCCCTCCTACACAGTAACTGAAACCTGATCTAATCCCTTTGCACGCGGGTAATTTATTGGTCTATTGAGCTTTTCTTGGTGGCAAATTGCATTGTCTTTATTCCTGGGTTCAGGCTCTGCAGCGGCTCACTGCATTCCTAGGACTCCTTTCTCAGGGTGGATCCTTCACACCCCCTTGTGCACTGCAAAATAAGTCTTATTGGGCTTCTTTGTCATGCAAACAGGGCAGTAATAATCAGGCTATTATTCTGAAAGATTGGGCTTGATTAACAGTTCAAAGCAGGTCTCTGAAAGCAGCTAGAGCCTCATTGGTGCATAAATATTTTCATCCTGCCTGCGTTGGTGCAGCTGGTGCTGCAAGCCCCCTGCCCTATCTGATTCTCAGAGGTGCTAGGTTGTTATTGAAAGGAAAAGAACTAAGTCAGACGTGCTGTGTGGCTGTGATTTTTCTTTCTCTTTACCTTATCTCAGTCCATGAGGAAGGCAGTCTGGAGCCCACCTCCCCAAAAGAGTGAAATGTCACCTACATACGTTTATGTGGGTTGTGGGGCAAGTGCATCTCCCAGGCACAGGGTCCTGGGTGGGAGGTTTAAAAAGGCATCAAATCTCTGATAGGGGACCAGGAATGGTGGCTCACGCCGGTAATCCCAGCGCTCTGGGAGGCCGAGGCAAGTGGATCACCTGAGCTTAGGAGTTCAAGACCGAGTCTGGGCAACATGGAAACCCCATCTCTACTAAAGTATAAAAATTAGCTAGGCGTGGTGGTGGACGCCTGTAATCCCAGCTACTCGAGAGGCTGAGGCAGGAGAATTGCTTCAACCTGGGAGGTGGAGGTTGCAGTGAGCCAAGATTGCACCACTGCACACCAGCCTGGGTGACAGAGCAACTCTATGTCAAAAAATAAGTAAATCTCCTGATAGACTTTGGGTATGGAGTATGGACACCAGGACAAAGATGGGGGTCCCCAGCCCTCAGGAGATTGACATGCAAGTGAGGAAGAGGCCGCTCAGCAGCCACCTCCTAGAGGAACCTGAGCTGTGCAAGGGCAGATGGGTGACACTGACAGTCCAGTGACAGCCAAAGAGAGGAGCAGCTGGAAGGACCAAGAAGGTGGCGCAGGGAAGCTGAGGGGCCATCCTCGACAATCACAAAGCCACCCTACTTCACCCTTTCCTATGTGACTCTAGACGAGGGCCAGGGGAAGTCCCTGAGATGCCGCAGTATGCATCCACAGCCGGAGCTGTCCAGAGCAGGAGGGGCCAGCCCTGCCCTGGCAGGAGTGCTGCAGGGAGATTTCCTGCTGCGTAAACCAGTGACCTCTGGCATCCACAGGCTCCCAGGTTCTAAAATTCCATGGCGTGCCTTGAAAAGTAACCATTGTTTTTGGTCACAAATTGATTGTTAGGGCTCTTTGATAAATTTGATTGCACAGAGAAGCCATGAGCTCTGGCCTGGATTGCTTGAGTCAGGAGCAAATGGGTCAGATGGTTGCCTGGGGTCCCGACCTGAGCACCAAGGGCCCACCCCACCCCCATCGGGTCTGAGAGCCACCCTGTCTTCTAGGCATTGCCTGGGCGTCACCCCTTGAGCCGAGTCCCTCACCCCATGGGGCTCCGGGACAAATTTAGGGGCTTTCTGTTGTTGGATCTGGAGAGGGGCAGACCACTGTCTTTGTAGGCTTCTGGATTCTCCTGTTTGCCCCACCGTAGCTAATCCTGAAAGTTCAAGACCTCAAGAGTCCTGGGTCAAAACAAAACATGCAGTGCACATAGTACCACATAATATGCTTGTAAGGGGCATAAAGCTCTGTGTCTGTGTCTCTGAGGTCGAACCCCAGGTTGCAAAGCTTAACAAGGGGCCGGAGGGCGACCCCTGCCCAAGGACACACTCAGTGGCTGGGGTAGAAATGGAAGCTCAGGAAGCTTCTTAGGTTTTTCAGTCCGCTGGTTCTGTGTGTATTGGCTGTCCTGGATCCATCAAGAGGCGGCTCCAGCGCTAGAAGGGGCCACTTTCTGGACTGCAGTACTGGGCAGGTGTGCTCAGCTCACCCTCTGCGGGGCAGCTGGCTCTGTGTTCAGCGTGGCTTGCTCTGAACAGCAGGTTTCCTCTTCTGCTTGCAGGAGTTGCTGTAAGATCTATTTTTCAGCTCTCAAACTTTCCTTCCTTCTTTCCATGGACATTTGCATCAGAAAAGTCTAAGGTTTATTGCCTGGAATTGGGGTCTTTTACTTTTTATAAAGATACAGCACATAAAAATCAGCCCCTCTGAGATCTCTCTGGCAGGTGATACCAAGCTATTGCTTTTGATGCTGGACCAGGTTTCATTCAGGTCCCTGACCTCTGGTGGGGGGCTGTAGTTGGTGATTTAGTGCATTGGAGGCAAGGTGATTGGATGACCATGGAGGTCAGGGCCCCTCACTCCAGTCACTGCCCGTGGGGACTGCCCAGCCCCTCGAATGGGAAATGAGGCCCCACACACACATTTCTGGGACCCATGGTTCCCAGAGAGCTGCCTTTCCACATGGAGAGATGGCACAGGGGAACAGGCACCCTTTATTCTGTCCCAGCTGGTCGCTGTCAGTGACCTTTTCCAAGTCATTCCCTTGAGCTTTGGAAGAGAAGAAGCCTCTTAAACTCTTAGGAAGATCTGCAGAGCTGGATCCAAGTTCCCTGAGAGTTTGGGGCACCTGGGAAACCCAAGAAGTCGGGATGGGTCAGTTGGCAGCAGCCTCTGCTCCCGGTAGGCTCCACACAGGCCTTTGTGCAGGGAGGGCCCAGAATTGATGAGGCGTCTGGTTACCATCCTGAGACCAGATGAGTCTGTGGCTGCATAGGAGACCCACATCATGCTTTTGGGCCTTGGGGGAGCTGGGTCAGTCTCAGCTGGTGTCCTGAGGAGGAACTTGTGACATAGGCGTTTTGAAAAGCATAGAAATAGCTCCAAGCCTGCCCATCTCAGCCCCAGCCCTTCCACTTGTGTGACCCAGGCCTGCTCCCGCCCGAAGCCTCCATGTTTGCATCTGCAAAATGAAGATAAAAATTCCTACCCTCTAATCAGGGCAGTAGGGAGGATCCAACAGGAAAGCAATGTGTCACCTGCACAGGCCCCGGGAGCGCAGGGTATTTTATTATCATGATCGTGTTTTGTTTTCTGAGGTGAGGCTCAGCCCATGTACCTACCCCACCTCCCTATGCAGTCCTAGGTGCACAGCCTCTTCCCCAGTGAGGCCCCCAAGGGCAGAACTCTTGACTTTGTTCATCTTTTGTGGCCCTGCAGCACCTATGTGCTGCCTGGTATGGAGTGTGTGGAAATCCGAGAGGTGTGAAGGAGGAGGAGAACGCAGCTTGGGGGCTGAGGGCTGTGGTTTGCACCTTGCCCCATTCAGGGTACCTGGGGGTGGGGTTGCGGGGGAGCTATTTAATGCCTCTAGGCCTCAGTTTCCCTGTCTGTTGAATGAAGATAATAAGTTAGTCCTGGGCCTGTATTAAGGGTTTAAGGAGACATATGTAATGTCTAGCACACAGTAAATGCTCGATACACAATAGCTGTTAAGCTCAGCCTCTCCCATAAATTGTGATTAAACAAAGTTAACACAAAACTGGCTGTCACAGAGCTTCCTTCCCAAGTCTCCCGGCTTTGCTCACATTAGTGCCTGCAGTCCCTTTAACACCCCTGTGGTGAGGTGCCCATGCATCTCTGTAGCTCAGAACGGTCAGGGAATTTGCCCACAGTCACACAGCTCTGGAGTGGTGGAGCTGGAGTTTATCTCGATGCTCTGCCCCACCACAGTAAGGTCCACCACTGCGGTGAGACCCTCCCACTGGGCACTGCCCCATGAGAACATCTCACCTGTTGCCTGGAAACACTGAATTCTCCCCAGTTCTCTCTGGGTGGGGAAATTGCAGGTATCCTTATTTTTCATTCTCATATAGAATCTAAGGTCTCTTCATTTACTCATTAACAAGGACAAAGGCAAACCTGTTGAAATTGTGCTTCAGAACCCAGTTTCTGACTGCATCTTTTCCCAGAAAATGTCTCAGCAGAAGAGGCATTTTAGGATGCCGTGAAAACTTGGGGAAGGAAGGGGTTGTGACAGGAAACCAAGTGCTCTCTGTCAGGAGCAAGGACGTGGAGACTGGACCACACAGGCTGTGGGGCACAGAAGTGTCCCAACAGAGGTATGAGAGCTCGATGTGCCACCCCCTAGTCCCTCCCTCTGAAGAGCCAAGGGAATCATCCCAGGCCTGAGCAATCCCTGGGCGAAAACACGTCCTTGTCGGGAAATGGGAAAATGGGGTAGGTGAAGTTAAGTCAATCTGGTCCTTTGGTCTCTGGCCAAACAAATGTCTCCACTGATACTGGCAGCTTCCGCAGAGGTGACTTGGGAGGGTGCAGGAAGGAGAGGAGGGAGGCGGCCAAGTTTCCCTCTATGACTGTCTCTTCAGCTTGGCCACCATAAGAAAATACCCCAGCCTAGGAGGCTTAAACAATGGACATTTATTTTCTCAGCGTTCTGGAGGTGGGAAGTCCTAGATCCGGTACCAGCATAGTCCGGTTCTGGAGAGAGGGCCCTCCTCCTGGCTCTCAGACTGTGGATTTCTCATTATATCCTCACATGGCAGGAGGTGGGAGGGGAGCAGGGAGAGAGAATGCTTAGCATTCTTCCAAGTGTCTTTATTTTAAGGGTACCAACCCTGTCATGGGGGCTCCACTCTCATGACCTCATCTAAACCTAATTACCTCCCAAATGTCATCCCATAAGGGGTTAGGACTTCAACCTACACATTTAGGGGGACAAAGTTCAGTCTATAGCGCTCTCCCTGGGGGTGAGTGAGGCAGTGAGGTAAAGCCACCTGGTGCCCGTGGGAAGCGAGGCCCCCTCGACAGTCATGACCGTTGACTGATCCTGGGTAGTCAGTGGATTGAAGGAGCTGCCAGGAGTTGGGGGACCTGGATCCAGGTGGAATCCACTGTGCCCTGAGAGTGAGTGCCAGCAGGGCCTACCCTGGGGAAGGAGGGAAGAGGAGAGATGCCACGTCTGCTGGAGCTTCAGGGAGGGGAGGCTCCCTCCAGTGCCCTTCCCGTCCCAGAAGCCCATGACTTCTAACCTCTGACCTCCCAGGGCTGCAAGCATTATCCCTCACTGTGGCCTTTGTGGGGGACCCTGTTTGTTGGATGCCCCTGGGGCTCAAGACACGCCATGTACATCTCTTCATATCCTCAGCGACGCTTTAAGGTGGACGCAGTCTCTACTTGACAATTAAGGAAACTGAGGCTGAGTCAAGTTCCTGAAACTACTGGAAAGGGACAGAGTGGGACTTTGAACCAGACACCTCCCTTCAGGGCCTGTGCTGGCCTCCAGCCCACCCAGAGCTGGGGCTGGCAGAACTTGGAGGGAATAGTGAGGCAAGGAGCTCACCCCACCACCAGGATCCTAAAGCCTACAGAGGAGTGGGGGAGACGGGGACCCTGGTTCCTGGGTGCAAGGGTTCCAGAGAGTGACCTCTGCCACCATCTTTGAGTGGCAGGCAGACAGCTACGCCTGCTGGGTGAGGGGTGGTCTTGTTCTTAGAGTGGGTGGGCTCTGGGAGGAGGAGAGGAACGGGAGAAGGTGCCCATGTGGAATGGAGAAGTGAAAGGGCCTTGTCTCAGGCGCTTCTTAGCCGCTCTGCATCAGGGCTAAGGCAGCCACATCCCTGCTGTTTGCTCCTGGGGGGCTGTCTGCCTCTCACCACCCCTCTGCCTGCAGCCCCCTTCTCTGAACCTTCACCACCAGCTGCCTCCCCATCCTGGGGAAATGCGCCTTCACACACTCCAGGCTGGCCGGACTCCATCAGGCTCTAGCTTGGCCCCTTGTGATTGCTGAAAAGAAGGTGAACCAACTCTGAAGCCTCACTACTCAAAGTGGGTCGCGGACCAGCAGCATGGGCCTCTCCTGGGAACTTAGTAGAATTGCAGAAGCCCCGGCCCGCTGGGGCCTGCTGAACTGGGTCCCAGGCCACCCAGTACAGCCTCATCTGGGGCTACCAGATCCCACTCCACAGCCCTGGAGCATGTGAGGGACCCCTTTCCGGAGTACCTGGGTAGGATTTCTGTCATGAATTCCCCACACACCCTAGAGTTCTGTAACTGGGGTGCTGCTCTGAGAACAGTTTTGAAGGCTGTGGAGATAGCAGATCCCGATCACAAAGCCAGTCCACTTAAAATTCAGGAGCCTGCGGAGTTGCCTATTTGGAGTGTAGAGCCACACCTGGGCACCGGCCTGACCCTGCCAGGAGGCTGGTGGGAGCACAGTGTCATAAGATGGGTCTTGCAGGAGAGGCTGGAGCCCACCCGTGGTGGAGGGAATCGGGAGTGTGCTAATGAGGCTGTGTGATGATGTGTGGCTGCAGGGGCATGAGCTCACAGGTCCAATGGCTGGATTCATGTCCTGCCCTGGCTCACTTCCTCGAAGTGAGACTTGGGCAAGAAGTCAGCCCAGCAGAGCCCAGCTTTCCCCTGAGCTGGGGATGGCAGTCGCACCGGGAAGATGCAATGGGGAAGGCCTGTACCGCCTGCAGCGCCGGACCTGGGACAGAGCCAGCCAGCTGGGACTTCACAGTCCCTGCTCTCCAAGGTTCTACCAGATTCCGTCCTGGTGGAGAGTCAGAGCACAGCACAGCTCCTGCTTGTGTTGCAGTGGGGCCTGCTCTAAAGGGACAGGCAGTGTCCTTTTTCTACTTTGGTCACAGGGCCAGAGGTAAACCAGAGCCTGAGCGTGGCCATCGGTTAACAGGAGACCAGTGTTCCTTCCGCTTGATTTTCTCTGATGCCCACATCTGCATGATTCTGAGGAGGCAGAATGTCAGGTCAGCACACCCGGCTCCTGGAATTAATGAGGCTGCCGGGACAGGCATTGTGTGCAGGCCGCTGCACCAGTCAGTTCCTGTGCGCTGGGTCCCTCCAAACGCTTGTTCTGCATAGTACTCCCTCCCCATACACCCCACCCCACTCACCTCCTGTACTGGCTTTATCAGGGGGCAGCAAGGAAGCTACCTTGTCCCACACAGACCACACCAACATTTCGAAGCCTACAGGTAGGTTGGGCCCTTCCACATCTTGTACAGGTAAAGGAGACGTGAAGACAACAGAGCAAGAGAATCTTCTCATTGCCTTGGGAGGGAGACCTGTCCTCAGGAGCACACCTGTGTGGGAGGAAGACTACATGGGGGGATCTCACCAGTGCTCCCCACATATCTGCCATAGCACCCCTTTATAGTGGTGTATTAGTCTGTTCTCACACTGCTGATAAAGACATACCCAAGACTGGGTAATTTATAAAGGAAAGAGGTTTAATGGACTCACAGTTCCACATGGCTGGGGAGGCCTCACAATCATGGCAGAAGGCAAAGGAGAAGCAAAGGCACATCTTACATGGCGGCAGGCAAGAGAGCACATGCAGGGGAACTCCCATTTATAAAACCATCAGATCTTGTGAGACTTATTCACTACCACCAGAAGAGTATGGGGGAAATGGCCTCCTGATTCAGTTATCTCCACCTGGCCGCACCCTTGACATGTGGAGATTACTACAATTCAAGGTGAGATTTGGGTGGGGACACAGCCAAACCATATCAAGCAGGCACCACCTGACTGTCATTTACCTAACCTGACCCTTTAAGTCAGCATACTTTAAATAAAGCTAATAAAATGGAAAATCTGTAGCTCTTACATCAATTTTTTTTTTTTTTTTTTTTTTTTTAGATGGAGTCTTGCTCTGTCTCCCAGGCTGGAGTACAGTGGCACCATCTCAGCTCACTGCTGCCTCTGCCTCCCAGATTCAAGCAGTTCTCATGCCTCAGCCTCCTGAGTAGCTGGGATTACAGGCACATGCCACCAGGCCCAGCTAATTTTTGTATTTTTGGTAGAGATGGGTTTTCGCCGTGTTGGCCAGGCTGGTCTCGAACTCCTGACCTCACATGATCTGCCTGCCTTGGCCTCCCAAAAAGTGCTGGGATTACAGGCATGAGCCACCATACCCAGCAATTTTTTTTTCTTAATGCACATTTAAATAAAGGTATGACTTCTCAAATTAAAAGACAAAGTGTTCACTTAGGTATCTCCCGAAATTACCTTGTTACTGGCAGTATGGCAAACACAGGTCACATGAGGGGGAGAGCCCAAATTTCAGATGAGCACTGACTTCCCCCATGCTCAGGTCTGTGACCTGGGAAGGTGACTTATGCTCCAGTAGAATGGTGCCCACCCACCTGCAGAGGCGGGAGAGATCACCCAGGTCCAGGGCTGCACAGCACAGACTGGGTTCACACAAGGTGCTGGGATAGGTGGGTACTTGTGCTTGCGTTAGCCTGCCCTCAAATATGTCTGTTTTTGGTTTTATGTGCAACTCAATTTTATAGGTAAAACCAGCACCAGAGAAACAAACTGACTTTTCTAAGGTCACAGGCCAAGTTAGTGGCCTAGACAGGAGTGCTGAGGCTCCCTTTCCCCCCTGGAGACCACCCCGGCCAGCACTGGGCTGTGACGCCAGAGGCTGGATCTCCCAGCTGGTCTGCTGGCCCCTTTCTCCTGGAATCTATGTAGAAACTTCTGCTGCAGGTGTGTGTGCCTAGCCACTTGTGGTCACTATGGGCTGTGCAGAGGAAGGCCAGAAAAGGGCAGGTTCTATGTGTTGAGAAGATTAGGTGTGTTAAAGCCATAGTTCTGGGGCATGGTCATTTTGGCTAATTGTCACTAAAGTCTCAAAGCTTGTGAGGGATCCAAGGTTACTACTCTCGGCTGCTTCTCAGCTTGCTTCTCCGAGCAGGACAGAGAAGGATGGGGGCTACGGTGAGCCTGAGGGAAGCCAGCTCCTCTATGGCGAGGGCTAATGGAGCACTCATACCAGGCAACATTCATTGAGTTTTGGCTATGAATGCTGGGGCCAGACTCAGTCCTTTATATGTGATAAATCACACACATTATCCCATCTTCCAGATAAGTATAACAAGGCACAAAGACAGGAGGTCATTTATATAAGGTCATACAGTACCAGGACTAGGGACACATATTTAATAGTGGGGCTAATTCCCTGCCAGATTCCTGTTGCTTTAGCCAAAATTCTTGGGGATGGCCGTGAAAGAGTATATAAATGTCAAAGGCCCCGGGGTGGCCTGTCAGCTTCCAAAGTCCTGCTACCCTCAAACAGTGACCACTTCCCTTTCAGCCTGCCTGTCCGCTTGGGGTCGCTATAGGCTGGGTAAAAGGACCCCTTTTCCTACCACTTGCAGGAAGTTTTTCACCATCTGTGTGTGGCGTGGGTGGCTCTACCCTAGATGAGATGTCCTCGTGCGACGTGTGACTGCTCCCCTGCCCCACAGATGGTAGCAGAGGCTGGAGTTGCCAGACTGCACCCAGACAGGCTGTTCATTCCTTTCTCCTCAGCCACCTCCCCGTGCAAGATCCTCAAGTGCAACTCTGAGTTCTGGAGTGCCACGTCGGGCAGCCACGCCCCAGCCTCGGACGACACCCCCGAGTTCTGCGCAGCCTTGCGCAGCTACGCCCTGTGCACACGGCGGACGGCCCGCACCTGCCGGGGTGACCTGGCCTACCACTCGGCCGTCCATGGCATAGAGGACCTCATGAGCCAGCACAACTGCTCCAAGGATGGCCCCACCTCGCAGCCACGCCTGCGCACGCTCCCACCAGCCGGAGACAGCCAGGAGCGCTCGGACAGCCCCGAGATCTGCCATTATGAGAAGAGCTTTCACAAGCATTCAGCCACCCCTAACTACACGCACTGTGGCCTCTTCGGGGACCCGCACCTCAGGACTTTCACAGACCGCTTCCAGACCTGCAAGGTGCAGGGCGCCTGGCCGCTCATCGACAATAATTACCTGAACGTGCAGGTCACCAACACACCTGTGCTGCCCGGCTCAGCGGCCACTGCCACCAGCAAGGTAAGGGGGAGGGGGCGGCTGTAGGGCACAGCCCTGCCCTTTCTCTGCCCTGCGTGGACACTGAGAGGCTGAGAGGGCCTCGGGTGCCTGGAAATGGGGGAAGATGGAGCAGAGTGGGGACACAGGAGCACTCTCCCTGAGCATCCCAAGGGGTGGATCTCAGCTTCCTCCCTCCTTCCCTGAGCCAGCCCGGCCTGGCTGGCATAGCTCCATTTCACAAATGGGAAGCCTGACGCTCTAGGAGGCCAAGTGACCTTCCCACCCCAAGTGCATAGTCAGCTGGGATGCTGAGCTAGAATTTGCCCCAGGCCCAGGTGATTCCAGAACCTGGCATGTTCTCAGCGGCCCCACGAGGCCACCAAGGGCTGCTGGTTTTCCAACCCAAGGAGGCCTTAGCATGTGGGCAGCAGGACTCAGGTCCTGCTCCTGGGGCCACAGCCAGTGGCAGCCACACACACGGCCATGGGCCCATGCAAGTGGACACTGCTATCTACCCCAGGTTCTCCCTCCCCTACCCGCTTTTGGGGAGGATGTCCTGTGACCTCATATTCAGACTTAGCCAGAGGGCAAGGCCTCGAGGCCAGGAAGGAAGCTGGTGGCTCCCAGTTCAGGCGATGGGGACACGTCCGCCCTCCCCAGTGCCCGGCCTACCAGTGCCCCCTGGGGTTTCCAGCTTGGTGAAGCAGCAGTGGGTCTGTTTTCCTAGGAAGAGCCAGTTGGAAGGCCGTGTGTTGGGCAGTGCCAGACTTACCACAAGGGTGTTTCTGTTCCTTCCCACCCCTCCACACCCAGAGGAGGACAGCGAGGTGACCTGGCAGCCGGGGAAATGCTCCATCCCTGCCACTTCCCTCTGCTCCGGTGGCCGTTGCCTGCCTCCAGGGGGTCGCTTTGTGGGCCCTGGCTGGGCGGGAAACAAGCAGGTGCAGGTCTTCACCCTGTGGATTCTCAAGCAGGCCCTTGGCACCAGACCATGACGCCTAATGGAGAAGACTTGCAGCCGGTACACTCCACCCTGTGCCCCCGCAGCCCTCTGTAGACTCAGGGCCTGCATCAAGGACCCAGCCACCTCCCCCACGGCCCCTGCACCTCCCCAGCACATACCCTCCTGAGAGCCAAGACAAACGGACGCCAGGAGCCTGAGGCTGCAGCTTCTAAATCCAGGCACCAGCACGCTTTGGAGGGGACCTGGCCTCCCTGTCCCATCCTGCAGGCTCCCAAGGGCTGGCAGGGCACACAGGGAGGTCTGAGGATGTGAGAGGGATGTGGACCCCAGGTGGCTTGCTCCTCCAGACCCCAGGGAGTAGAAGCACCAAATGTGACAACAGAGCCAAGCCGCACACCGGGAGGATTTGTGGTTAGTGCTCAGGGAGGCTGGGCTGCTGCCCCCATTATGGGTGGGGGCGATGTGACTGGGTGGAGCAGAGCCTGCAGGCTGGGGCAATGTGCCTGAGCTCACGACACCACCCTCAGCTCTTAGCTGAGGCACACTGGGACCTTGAGCGCAGCAATGCTATCCACAAACCACATGTGAAAGGACTGGTCATTCATTCCTTCTTATATTTCATTCATTCACTTGACCCACGTTTTTCAAATGCCTGCTCTGATCCAGGCTCGATTCTGGGCACTGTGGACAGCAGAACTGCCGAGCAGTGAAGGGAGAACTTCCCTTCTTATCCCAGCATGGAGGCTTCCAGAAGAGTATGAAGCAGAGCTTCACCAACCCAGCCCGTTTCTGCTGCAACCAAAGAGCACCTTTGATCTCAGCAGGCTGAGAGCTCAGCCCTGTCAACCAGGCTCTGCTGGAGGCCAGACAGTGACAGCGTCTGTGGCCAAGTCAGTCTCAGAACTCAGGCCAGACTGGGGGTATTGTGGTCCCCCGGTGAGAACATCGGTGGCTGGCTTCAGGCACCTTTGGCCTGCCCCCGCCTGTCTTTCAGGCCTCCGTTACTCAGGTGTGTTTGTTCGCTCATTGATGGAGCGAACACTTACCAGACGCTGCATCTGTGCCACCCTCTGAGCTAGTTGTTGCCCTCCCTCCCAAAAGCTCCCAGACTAGTGAAGAGCAAAGACCGGCAAAGGGGGAGCTGGTGATGGGGGCTGGGGCAGCAGGATGTTGAAGGCCATTGGGAGCCTTGGCTCTGTCCAGAGAACTGGGGAGCCCATCCACCAAGCTCACCCCTGAAGCACAGCGTGAGTTTCCAGATGGAGGAAAAGAGGAGTCAGCATCCAAAGCAGGCAGAGTGGGAGAGCAGCCTGGTGTCCGCAGGGAGCAGGGAAAGGCAAGGGACTTTCATCTCCACGATGATGAGGCCTCTGGGCTTCTGTGACCACCTCGACCACCACCAACCAGAGCCCTCTGGGCCTGCCAGACTCTGCCCTCCACTGGAACCCACTCCCCTTTCCTCTCTCAGCCAGCCAGACTCCACCTGTCCCTGCACACCTGCCCTTGAAGGCCTCTCCTCAGGGTTCCCAGAGTGTGTCCAGCCCCTGCCTGGCCTGACCCTGACCTTGCAGCCATGAGATTTGCCTTGTGCAGAAGCTTCCTGTGCAAGTTCCGTGTGCATGAAGCTGGCCCCAAACACCTGGACATCACTAGGGGCCCATGACACTGGCAGTATCAGCCAATCAGCCAATCCCTCTGTTGTGGACAATCAAGATCTGGTGTTTTTCACGTGGACATTTTAGCCAGCTTGTTACCGCTTTGGGACAGCCTTCTGTGCCCAGACCTCTCCTCTATCACCCTTTTTCCAGCTGTGCTGCTAGTACCCATTTTATAGATAAAGAAACTGAGACTCAGGAGAGGACAGGAACTCGAGTCCTGCGCCTTCCCCTTTCTTTCCCCGCTGGTTAGTTTTCCCTGTAGCACTTGCCAGCCTATCCCTCTGCATGATTCATTTGTTTAATCTGTGACACTCTGGAGCATAGGGATCTTCTCTCTTGTGTACCCCCAGCCCCCAGCACCGGGCGTGGCATGGAGTTGGTGCTCTGTAAATAGTAGCAGATGCAGCCCGGGCTCTACCTCGTGCCCGGTGCAGTGGAAAGGGCCAGGGCCCCTTCAGAAGGGGGAGCAGCAGAGGCAGGGGGAGCAGCAGAGGCAGGAACAGCAGCCCGCCCGTGGCTGTGCTGGCAGTGAGCCGCCAGCTTTCGACAGGCCCCCTTCATGCTGTTACTTGTGGTTGAGTCCCTAGTACCGGTGCCAAGAAGAGTCAAGCAGCCTGTCAGCCTTCCAGGAGGCTGTCTCTGAGAGATGGTGGTTAGAGTGAAACCAGCCTTTCCTGTTCCAGGGAGACTGATGGCACTTGGAAAGCAGGACGCCCCCCCCAACCCCCAGTGTCTGTGTGGCCCTGCACACCAGGCAGGGACACCAGAGTCTCCCCCTTCCTCCCCCCATGGCAGGACCACCCACGGCCCAGACCACCCTGGCTGGCCCACCTCCAGCCCCCCCAGGCGGCCTCCACACCGAGGTGGGCTGGCCAGTGGGTGGAAAGAAGGAAGAAGTAGGAGGTTGAACCGTATGAAGTTGTCATTTCCATAGGTCAGGAATGGCAGAGAAGCAGCAATTTCATCAGGTTCCAGGCTTAGGGCTCCATGCTGGATGGAGAGGCTGCAGCCATCTTTGACATCCCACAGCAAACCGGAAGTGTGCCATGTCCTGGGGCCAGGCTGGGACCCCTGTAGGAAGGGAGGTGAGGAAATCGAGTCTAGTGCTCAAGGAACTGTGCCCTTGGGGTCCTCCTGGTGCTGCGCTCCATGGACTCCCACAGAGCCGCGGCCCCAGGCAGTCTCCATCGGGCACGGAAAGCACAGCGCCGGGTGCCCGAGATGAACGGGCTCATGAAAAGACTGCCATTTCTTTTACAGTCCTCCGGCGGCCTGCCCCTCATTCAGCTCCTCCCAGCCTTGCCTTTCTGACTAACATGGTGAGAGGACAGGATTTTCCTTCCTCAGAAGCCTTGGCCTAGCGTCTCCCTCTGTTCTTGTGGGGGTTCCACACCCCTCAGGCTACCAGTTCTTCCCACCTCATCACCCCAAAGCCTTATGCCAATACGGGGAACCCACAAAGCCACAGCAACACAGCCAGGGACACCTCTAGTGGCTCTCAATACCCCACTGGCTTGTATTACCTAGAAGGTTCTGTGGCCCCCTTTTCGGCCCTCAGGCCTCTTAGCACCTGGCCCTGAGGCTATGACCCTGGGCCAGCCTGCCCCATACTGAGGCCACTATGCTGCACCCCTGGCCTCCGGGTCCCAGAGGACAGGATGGCCTCTTGCTGCATCCCTAGCCAGACCCCACCTTCCACCTTTCTGTGACTCTCCTGCGTGAGCTGAGGTCCTTCTGTAGTTTCCCTGCCTTCCCTTCCCCATCAGAGCAGCTTTTTATTTTATGTTGCTTTCTAGCACCTCACACTGTACCCTCACCACACATCTGCTGTTAGGCCAGAAACTCCCTTGGCGCTTAGTGGCATTGCCCTCTACCCGGAGAGCCGGCCAGGCAGTCCTCATGCCTCCCCGAAGTGCCCAGGCAGAGAATGACTGTGTACGTCATCAGTAGCTCCCCCTTGCTCGGACCCCTTCAGCCTGCAGACCCTCTGAGGCCGGGTTGGGGTGGGATCCCTTGGGAGCTCTGTCAGCCAGCCAGCTAGCTGGCCAGACCCTTTCCTGGGTGGGGAGGGGTGAGCTCTGACCTACAGAGGGGTGAGGGGTTGGGGCTTAGTGGTGGGGGTAATTGCTGGGCCTGGGAGAGGGTAGTGCAGCAGATAAAGGTGGGGTTTTAGCAGGAGGTCCCAAAAGGCCTGGGTGCCACCTTGCCCCCTTCACCCCACCTCCCTTCCTGGCTTCAGGCTGGGAGTCCAGGTTCCAGCTGCCCTTGGTCCAAGGGGACCAAGGCACCCAGAGCTCCTGTGGCAAAATAGCTGGCACCTGGGAAAGGAGTGGAAGAGGGGGTAGTTGTTTCTCCCAATTTCTCTGTTTCCAACCCAGAGAGCCTACTTAGTTAGGGTTAGGGAGGAAAGAACAGCCAGATACCACCCAGGACAGGACAGTAGAGGAAACTCACCTGCTACCCTGGCCACCTGCCCTCCTCCTCTCAGGCCTGCCACCCAGTGGGCTTGTGGCCAAAAGAGCCCAGACTCTGGAAACCCAGAGTTTAATCCCAACTCTGCCTCTTGCTGACTGTGTGACTTTAGGCAAGTCACTGCCTCTCTCTGAGCCAACATTTTCTCATCTGGAAAATTGGGAGTAATGTCACTGACCCTTGCAGTGTCACACGAGACTAGAAGTAATCAATGCAGTGCCTGCTGAATGCATCCAGTGCACCTGTGTTTGGCTCTCAGGAGGAGAACAGTGCCACCCAGCCGGCTGCTCCTCCAGCAGCTCAGTTCAGCCCTTCACCCCTGGCCACAGGCTCCAGCAGAAAGGAGTTCCCTCCTCCAACCCTGGCCAAGGTTGCGCGTTCAGCCTGGAACATCCATCTCCCTTTTACCCACCAGCACCTTCTTTCCTGTTCCCCTCGTCCATGGCCCAGCTTGGGGACCCCTTTCAGCAGCCTTGGGACAGTGGCTTCTACTTGCCTCTGCCTGCTTGCATGGATTTTGCCTTATTCATTCTTTCTTTCAGCATAATTTCCCTCCATTCCACCTGCTGTAATGTTCAGACATTTGCTTGGGTTCTTTGTCAGGAATTGTGCTCCAGTACCACCGTCATTATGCAAGATGATGTTTGCAAACCATACTCGTTTCCTATTGCCACTGTAGCAGATTAGCATAAACTGAGTGGTTCAAACCAACAGAAATGTTTTATAATTGTGGAGGCCAGAAGTTGAGAATATGTCTCATGGGGATAAAATCAAGGAATCAGCAGGGCTGGTCCTTCTGGAGACTCCAGGGGAGAATCCATTCATTGCCATTGCCAGCTTTTGGTGGTTGCCAGCATCCCTTGGTTTGTGGCCACATCATTCCAATCTCTGCCTTGGTGATCACATCATCTTGTCTGTCCTAGTTAGTCAAATCTCCCTCTGCCTCCTTACAAAGATACTTGTGATTCCATCTAGGGCCCACCCAGGTAATCCAGAATAATCTCTTCATCTCAGTGTTCTTAACCTAATCACATCTGCAGAGTTTCTTTTGCCATCTAAGGGAACATTCCCGGGTTATGGGGATTAGGGCATGTTCTCCTTGGGAGGCATTATTCAGCCTACCACACTGGGTTTTTAACCTTTTATTTTTAATTATCAATGCTTTTATTTTTGTGGTTTGCTTCCCTATATAATAGTAAAAGAGCTAGTTTTCTACTTCGGGTAGTGGCCTAACATTTTTCTAAGTCACTTTTTAAAGTGAAAAGGGCAAGTTGTTTTAAAGAATGTGAAGTGCACAGCTGCACAGGTGGAACTGATCTGTCCAACCTGGGGAAGGGAGTGTCCAGGGCATCCCTGGGGAATCCTTTGTGCCCTCCTCTCAGTCTAGAGCATCTTAAGTGTGGGACTGGGCCTCCTCCCACTGTGCCTCACCTACTCTCCTCTGCCCCTTTCCCCGGCAGCTCACCATCATCTTCAAGAATTTCCAGGAGTGCGTGGACCAGAAGGTGTACCAGGCTGAGATGGACGAGCTCCCGGCTGCCTTCGTGGATGGCTCTAAGAACGGTGGGGACAAGCACGGGGCCAACAGCCTGAAGATCACTGAGAAGGTGTCAGGCCAGCACGTGGAGATCCAGGCCAAGTACATCGGCACCACCATCGTGGTGCGCCAGGTGGGCCGCTACCTGACCTTTGCTGTCCGCATGCCGGAGGAAGTGGTCAATGCTGTGGAGGACTGGGACAGCCAGGGCCTCTACCTCTGCCTGCGGGGCTGCCCCCTCAACCAGCAGATCGACTTCCAGGGCTTCCACACCAATACTGAGGGCACCGGCGCCCGCAGGCTGGCAGCTGCCAGTCCCGCACCCACAGCCCCTGAGACCTTCCCATATGAGACAGCCGTGGCCAAGTGCAAGGAGAAGCTGCCAGTGGAGGACCTGTACTACCAGGCCTGCGTCTTCGACCTCCTCACCACGGGCGACGTGAACTTCACACTGGCTGCCTACTACGCCTTGGAGGATGTCAAGATGCTCCACTCCAACAAAGACAAACTGCACCTGTATGAGAGGACTCGGGACCTGCCGGGCAGGGCTGCTGCGGGGCTGCCCCTGGCCCCTCAGCCCCTCCTGGGTGTCGTCATCCTGCTCCTGGCCCTGCTCCCTGTGTTCTGCTAGATGCGTAGATGTGGAGGGAGGCACAGGCTCTGTCCCCTCGGCTTCTCCATCTGTGGGCTGGGACCGCCAACGGGGTGCAGATCTCCTGGCATGTCCCCCATGGCCCCACAGAACGCCAGGGACCGCCTGCTGCCAAGGGCTCAGGCATGGACCCCCCCCCCTCTAGTGCACGTGACAAGGTTGTGGTGACTGGTGCCGTGATGTTTGTGACAGTAGAGCTGTGTGAGAGGGAGAGCAGCTCCCTTCGCCCCGCCCCCGCAGTGTGAATGTGCAAAACAGCCCCTCAGACTGAAGCTCCCCACCCCCACCAGAGAGACACTGGGAACCGTCAGAGTCAGCTCCTTCTCGCAATGCACTGAAAGGCCCAGCCGACTGCTGCTCGCCAATCCGTGGGGCCCCCTGTGCCCGCCACATGCACGCACACACTCTTACACGAGAGCACACTCGAAACCCCTAGGCCAGCGGGGTCGCCCCAGCCACACAGGCATCCTTGGGGCTCAGCCCCAGGCAGGGCACCCCTGGGCCGCTGCTCGGCACCTTAGCGGACTGATGGAAGCTTTTGGCCAGTAGGTGGTGCCCGCCTGGTGCCTTCTTGCCTGTGGCCTCCCTGCCCATGCTCACCTGGCTGCTGTGGGTACCAGTGCAGGTCCTGGTTTTCAGGCACCTGCTCAGCTGCCCGTCTTTGACCTGGGCCCCCGCCCCTTCCACCCTGTGCTTAGAAAGTTGGAGTGCATGATTCTAAATGTAAACAGAGAAGAGATCCTTGACTTCTGTTCCTCTCTCCCTTCTGCAGATGCAAGAGCTCCTGGGCAGGGGAGCCTGGGCCCCAGGGTGTGGCAGGAGACCCAGTGGATGGGGCCAGCTGGCCTGCCCTGATCCTCTGCTTCCTCCTCACAACCCCAAGAGCCCCCACCCAGTCCACCCACGTGTGGAGTCTGGGGAGAGGAGCAGGGTCTTAGGCTTCTCAGCCCTGAGCATCCCTGGCAGGGTCTCCAACCTCTAATCTCTTCCCTTAAGCCCTGTGGCCACACAGCCAGGAGAGACTTGCCACTGGCTCCCGCCTCATTTCAGCCCAGGGTGCTCATCCAGGAGCCCAGAACAGTCCCACCTGTGCTGCTATGCCCACAGCACAAAGCCGGCTTTGCTCCCAAAAGTGCAGCCAGGCCCCAGAGGGTGATCCCGCCAGCAACCCTACAGCCCCACACCCTCCCCACCCATCAGCATCCACGGCAGCCCCTCTGCTGTTCCCCAGGGACCTCTCATACACTGGCCAGGAGGCTGTAGAACATGTGTCTCCCCCTCCCTCCAAGAGGTCCTGCTCCCTCTGCCAGAACCGTGTGGGTGGTGGGAAGGCGCTCGGCGCCCGGCCCCTCCCTCTCCCTGCTGGTTTAGATGGTCCCTATGTTGGAAGTAAAAAGTGAAGCACTTTATTTTGGTTGTGTTTGCTCACGTTCTGCTTGGAAGTGGGGACCCCTCACTGCGTCCACGTGTCTGCGACCTGTGTGGAGTGTCACCGCGTGTACATACTGTAAATTATTTATTAATGGCTAAATGCAAGTAAAGGGGTTTTTTTTGTTATTTTCTTTTAGACATGTTGGAGTTTGTTTTCTGAACAGACTTTGGCTCCCTTGAGGTGGGTGGAGGATGGACTTTGGTGGTGGGGTCCCCTGCAGCAAGTGTGTGTGTGTATGTGCACGCGCATGTGTGTATGCATGTGTGTACGCATGTGTATGCGTGTGTGTACGCATGTGTGTGCGCATGTGTGCGTGCGAGTGTCGTGAAGGCATGTAGAAGGTGCAGTAGTGTAACAGCCACCACACGTTGCTTCTGTAAAATTACTTATCCTCCTCACGATGAGCTGTCTTCGGAGCTTGGCAGGCCCAGGTCCTCTTGTTCTAGTGACAGTGGAACCCAGTCACGGAGACAGGTGACCACACGGTGGAGAGACATACGGTGCCCTCTGGGATGAGATGAGTGGGCTGGCCTGAGATCCGGGATGACTCTCTCTCAGCCACCACTGTCAGCCTGGAGCCCCAGCTGTGGGACTGCCTGTCACCCTCCCTGCCCAACTTCACATAGCCGGGGTGGAGCAGTGGCACTGCAGAGGAGGCTGCTGTCCATGTCATTGTGGGACCAGGTTTATTGCCAGCTGTGATCACATTTCATCTGTAAAAACTACCCAGTGGGGGCCAGGCGTGGTGGCTCACTCCTGTAATCCCAGCACTTTGGGAGGCCAAGGCGGGTGGATCACGAGACCAGGAGATCAAGACCATCCTGGCTAACACAGTGAAACCCCGTCTCTACTAAAAACACAAAAAATTAGCCGGGCGTGGTGCGGGCGCCTGTAATCCTCAGCTACTCGGGAGGCGAGGCAGGATAATACAAAAATAAGAAAAAACATAATACAAACAAAAGAACAAAATAATAACAAAAAAGAAGGCATAAACCACAGGAGCGGGAGCTTGCAGTGAGCCAAAGACAGCCCAAGATCCCGTCTCAAAAAAAATTACCGGCACCCGCGGCGGTGGCTCAAGCCTGTAATAAACAAAACACAACAATTGGGAGGCCGAGGCGGTTGGATCACGAGGTCAGGGAGTCGCAGATATCTGGGTTAACATGGTGAAACCCCGTCTCTACTAAACACACACACAAACCACGTCGTGGTTGTTGGGCGCCTGTAGTCTCAGCTACTGGGGAGGCTGGCGGAATGGCGTGACCCGGAGCGGGCTTGCAGTGAGCCGACACACCACTGCACTCCAGCCTGGAGACACAGCGAGACTCCGTCTCAAAAAAAAAAAAAAAAAAAAAAAAAAAAAAATACCCAGTGAATCAGAAACAAATGTAGCCTCATTTGCCATGAAACAAACTCTGTGAGATTAATTGACTTGCCTAGGGCTCCTTAGCAACGGGAGGGGCAACCTGTGCGCCTAGGTTAGTATTGCCCTGAAGCCCCTTCTCTCCAAACTAAATGCCATGAGGCAGAATAGCAGCACAGTTAAGCCAGCCTACTTCCTGGCTTCTCCACCTCCCCAGCAGTGTGACCATGCACAAGTCACTACACCTCTCTGAGCCTGCATGCTGTTCTCTGGAAGATGGGGGGTGCCTGTTCCACACTGTTTTTTGGAGAGTCAGGAGTTCATTCCTGTAAATTGCTTAGGAGAGGGCGGGGCACCCAGGGCTTGTCTGGTGGTGGGGAGGGAGGGGAGGGAGTGGTATTTATCCCAAAGCAAGAGAAATCAGGTAAGGGGAGAAGGAAAGGGGCGATACAGACCCTGGACTTGGGAGAGGTGAACCTACAGGCTAGCAAGGGAAGGAGTCCCAAGAGTGGGCATGTATACTAATTCCAGGCAGAGCAGGAAGGCTGAAGAAAAAGGAGAAGTATCTTTTTTTTTTTTTTTTTAAATGGAGTCAGACGTCTTGCTCTGTCGCACAGGCTGGAGTGCAGTGGCACAATCCCAGCTCACGGCAGCCTCCGCCTCCTGGGTTCAAGCAATTCTCCTGCCTCAGCCTCCCAAGTAGCTGGGACTACAGGCGCCTGCCACCACGCCCGGCTAATTTTTTGTATTTTAGTAGAGACGGGGTTTCACCACGTTAGCCAGGATGGTCTTGATCTGACCTCGTGATCCACCTGCCTTGGCCTCCCAAAGTCCTGGGATTACAGGCATGAGCCACCGCGCCCGGCCAAAACATGAGAACTTTCTAAAGCCCTGTTCTTGCAGGGCTCCCAGAGAGAACACAGGAGTTGGGTTTAAGAGGCAGGAACCAGACTGGAAAGGACAAAACATACCCAGCATCTTCCCTGGTGGCTGGAACTGTCACCAGAGGCCTCATGCCCTTAGCAGCCAGTGGAACAGAGTGACTCAGGGAGGCAGCAAGGAGGAGCGGAGCCGTTGGTGCTCGGCTGGCGCAGAGAACAATTACTGAGAAGCCAGGGCGCACAGAAGAAAAACAAAACAAAAAAATTCGCCTCCATTAAATGAAAATGCTAAATGGCACTAGCCAGAAAGTATTCCTGGTTTGGAATTTGTTTTCAGGACCCTAAATGTCACCGGCTGGAGTTCTTTCCCAAGTACCATGCTACCAGTTGCCCTCATGAACATGGAAATTTCATCGTGATTATGGAACACAGCATCCTGAGCTAAAAGATTCCCAAGAGGCAGCTTCATCTTGCAGGACAGGCTAGGTTTGGAGCCTCTGGAGGTTCCTGGCTGCCAGCTCTGTGGAGGCCTGCGGCCTGGAGGTAAATGCATTAGCACACGGAGGTGGGCGCCTCTCCCCGCCCCATCCTGTCTCACTGATGTGTTGCCGAGAACTCCTGGAGTTCTTGTTTAGCTAACCAGAATTTGCAAGGCTAGAAGACAGGAGAGAAATGGCCTTTAAAACAAATGAATGAGAGTCATGATGAAGGGGACAGACTAGGGGGTGAAAATCATTACCAGAACACTTGGGCAGAGACCCGTCAGAGCCAGGCAGGAGCAGAGTCATCAGAGCTGTGCCAGCAAGTGGCATGGAGCAGGGGTGGCACTTGGACTCGGGCTGCAGGCAAACTTGGCGTCAAAACTGGCTCAACCCGTCGCGAGCTGTGTGGTCTCCTTGGGATTTTTTGAGCCTTAGATTCCTTATTTGTAAAATGGATTTGTGAGTCCCCACCTCCCAAGGTCAGTATGGAAATCCAATGAGCTAACACCTATCAACGGCCTCGCACATGGCCATAGCACTGCTCATGGAGGCTGCCAAAAGTCGCCGCCTCCTCTCTGCAATTGCGTTTATTTATACATTTGATAACTATTGGGTGACTACCCAGCATTGATCAAGGGGGTGGGGGGCTGCCGCAATGACCCAGACAGACTTCTTGTTGCATTCTTGTTGGAAAGACAAGGCAATAAACCACAGTCACAAAACCCAGGATCCCATGGTAACGAGCTCCACAGAGAAAAGCGAAGTGGGCCAGAGGTTCTGAGAGACACATATTGGATTGCAGGAGGGTGAGAAGGGGTATTCATCTGTGGTGGAGTTAAGGGGACCTCTGACTAGCTCACCTGCATGAATTTGGGGAGCAAGCCATGCAGAGAGCTGGGGAGAGCATTCTGTGCAGAGAAAACAGTGCAACAGCCCTAGAGCGGCAGCAGCAAAGGGGTAGTTGAAGGGATGGTGGGAAGCCACTGTCACTGGACAATAGCAAGTGGACAGACCAGGGGTCCCAGGTGAGGCTACGGAGTAGCCAGAGTACGGCAGGGCTCTCCAGCTCCGGGAGGACTTGACGTTTGATTCCAGTTGCCAGAGGAAGCCACTCATGGGCTTTGAGTGTAGGAATGATGTGTCCGACTTGGGTCTCTTTATTTTTATTTTTTAGAGACAGAGTCTCACTCTTATCACCCAGGCTGGAGTGCAGTGGCACAATCACAGCTCACTGCAGCCTCCACTTCCTGGGCTCCAGCTCAAGCAATCCTCCCACTTCAGCTGCTCAAGTAGCTGGGATTACAGGTGCCTGCCGTCACGCCTGGCTAATTGTTAAATTTTTTGAAGGGACAGGATCTTGCTATTTTGCCCAGGCTGATCTTGAACTCCTGAGCTCAAGCAAGATGCCTGCTTCAGCCTCCCAAAGTGCTGGGATAACAGGTGTGAGCCGCTGGGCCCGCCCTGGCTTGGGTCTTAAAGGAACCGTTCTAGTTACTATACAGAGCAGACTTGGGGCCATTGCGGGAGAAAGAGGAAGTCAGGAGCTGGTCTGAGGCAGTGGCAGTGCAGAGATTGTAAGAAATGATGGGCTCAGTGATAGACTGGGTAAAGAGAATGTAGCACATATACACCATGGAATACTATGCAGCCATAAAAAGGGATGAGTTCATGTCCTTTGCAGGGACATGGATGAAGCTGGAAGCCATCATTCTCAGCAAACTATCACAAGAATAGAAAACCAAACGCCACATGTTCGCACTCATAAGTGGGAGTTGAACAATGCGAACACATGGTCACAGGGAGGGGAACAACACACACGGGGGCCTGTCGGGGATCGGGGGATGGGGAGCTGGGGGAGGGATAGCATTAGGAGAAATACGTAATGTAGATGACGGGTTGATGGGTGCAGCAAACCACCACGGCACGTGTATACCTATGTAACAAACCTGCATGTTCTGCACATGTACCCCAGAACTTAAAGTATAATAATAATTTTAAAAAAAGAAATGATGAGCTTTGGGGTCTAATAAGAAGGTGGGGCTGACAGGGCTTGGGGAGAGAGAGAGCTTGACAGGAGACCACGATATCTTCCCCAGGGGTCTGAGCACCTGGGGAAGTGGTGGTGCCATTTACCATGTCTGGAAAGATCATGGGAAGAGCAGGTTTGGGACACTGAAGGCCCGAGAGCCCCTGGCAAATCACCAGTGTAAATCCAAGAGTCCAAAAGCTGAAGAACTTGAAGTCCAATGTTTGAGGGCAGAAAACAGCCAGCATGAGAGAAAGATGGAGGCCAGAAGACTCAGCCAGTCTAGTCCTTCCACGTTCCTCTGCCCGCTTTTATCCTAGCCTCGCTGGCAGCTGATTAGATGGTGCCCACCCAAGTTAAGCATGGGTCTGTGTCTCCCAGTT